TCCAGTGCTATTGGGAGAGGGTTGGAACTTGAGGACCGTGGGAGGTTATTGTTTCGGTGTAGTTAGCTGAGGGGGTTATGCTGATAGGTTAGTGTAGAGTATGTATAGTGAGGGAGGGTTGGATAGGAATGTAAAGCTGTCATACTAGTGTATTGATTAGTGATGAATTTGGGTTCTATTGTATTATTAGGCTGATACTTGTGGGTGCGGGGAGGAAGGGGAGAAATTATTGGTTCTGAGTGACATCGTGAATGGCAGCACAAGAATGGGGGTCCCAGTTATCGGGGCAAAGTGACCCATTCTGAGACATGTAGCCAGAAACGTTTGGGTGGTGGGGCATTGGGAAATCTGGGGGGGGCAGGGGAGGGAGAGAGAGAGCCCATCAGCAGGCTGGCAAAGAAGAGAAGGGTCTTTCCTTACCTGCTGGCTGCACTCATTCGCCTTGGCCACTACAAGAGAAGGAGAGGAGGAGAGTATTAATTGCATCAGCTGAGTCTCCTTCTCCTGTAACAGCCAAAGCAAATGAGTGAGGCTTGCAGGGAAGGGCAGGGGCAGCAGGAGTCATGGGGCGTGAGCCATGAGTGAGGGGGCACTGCCCCTAAATTCCCCACTGTGGCTAGGGGCCTCGCTATAGCCCCCTTCAGCTCTCATGTTGTTCAAGGCCAGATCCATAAATAATAAGACTGCAATGCTGCAAAGTTACATTGCAGCACGAGACGTGGACCTGGCATGCATGACTGAGACCTCGATGAGGGAGGGTGAAACAGTCCCCTTAAAAGAATTGACTCCTCCAGGCTACTCGGTCCTCCATCAGTCCCAAACTGAGGGGCAGGGGAGGGGAGGAGTGACAATGTTCATCCGAGAAGGTTTTTCCTTCAGGGCACTCCCCACCCCAAAGATCACTGGTATTGATCTTAAGATGCCATAGGCTGATTTCTCACAAGCTGCTGCTCTGCACTCGTTCATACTTGCCTGTTTCTAGAAGTCTTGTCTGTTGCAATGAATAAAGGGACAGAAAATAGTGTCTAGAAGTTTTACCTACATCACACTGTTCCAGAACCAGCCGGTCAAGTGCGTGTGCGTGCATGTAAGGGGATCTCTTTGGCTGCGCATCCCAAAGAGATCCGGTAAAGACAAAGAGTTTTAGAGCAGGGAAGGGGGGGTAGTAGAATGTGGCCAGCCAGAAGACTTGCAGCATGGTCTTTGCTTTGATAGTAAAATGTGGCTAGCCCAACCCCTAAAGCATGGTCCTTGTGTTTTATAGTTGAAACTCCAGGTGGGTGGCACCTTGCCAAACTGCAATCCCACCTACCTACAAGTCCATCCCATAGCTTTTCCCTATTGGTGCGTGTGAAAAGGGCAGGTATTCTATGGGTTGGGTCAATATTTGAAATACTACACTCTATCTCATGGAATGCCATTTGGCCATGTGTGAAATCTCAGCTTCAGGACATCTCTTTGCTGTGCTGATAGATACCACGTACTCAAGGCACCTTCAACAGGAAATGGCAATTCAAATGCAGATCAGGTCCGTGTTCTGCGTGACAACCAGTCCTTTCAGTAATGGGGGAATTTTTCCTCTTAGTCGTTGTTCTCTGCTCACAATGGCTAACATGTGCTTCTACTTCCCATGATCCTCTCTGAGCTGAATGTGTGCAAGCTACATTAACATAAAATGCAGGCAAGCGTTCCCTATGTGAAATCCCTCTCTCACAGTAGGCGATGCAAACAGCTTCCTTTGCTCATGGTATACAGATGTGTGCACAGTCCATGTGTTGCATGCGTAGCAGATATAAAACCATAAATTAGTTCATTTCCCAACATTAAGTAGTGGCTGGATGAATATTTGCCAGGGATGCTCTAGGCTGATCCTGCACTGAGCAGGGGGTTGGACTGGATGGCCCATATGCCCTTTCCAACTCTGTTATTCTAGGATTCTAGGATTGTCTCAGCCTCGTTTGGGATGCTGAGAGTTTGGTGGTCTGTCTGGTGTACCATCCGCCTGGTGCCCCACCAGATAGCCTACTGACCTGGCTGCTATCCTCCAGGGCTTCGTCAGGAATTACAACTGATCTCCAGGTCACAGCGATCCGTTCCCCTGAAGAAAATAGCTGCTCTGGTGGGTGAACTCTCTGGCACCGGCCCCCCCAAACTCTGCCCTTTCCAGGATCCACCCTATGACACGAACCCCCTTTAGACTGATAGTTCTGTGAGGGTCTGCATGTCAGGACCTAGTCAGAGTTGATTGTATTGCTCTTGACCAGTCCTCTACACCCAATGTCTAATATTCTCCTCGGGTTTTGTACATTTCAGGCTGTCTTCCTTGAGGACTACTGCACAGTCTATGGCTCCCCAGAAAGTCAGGCACCAATACTTGTCACATTCAAAAAGGCACAGTAATTTTATTGTTGCACAGGAAACACTACAGGGGGATGGGATATATTTACACGGGATGTTCAGATACTTTGTTGAAATATTTATATCACTTTGCCTGGTCTTAGGCTGTCTGTGGTTCGCTCCTTCAGTGGTTCATTTATTGGCTTTAATGGGTCTGGTCCCCCCTGAGTCTAACTGGTCCCCCAACCAGCCTTCCAGTCACCTCCCTCCAGATCCCTTTTTGCCTTTCCTCAACCCCTGTTTGAGTCCCTATCAAGCAGGGTTTCTGTGTGATTGTGACCACCCAGGTCTTATGCATCCACTCTCTTCCAACTCCCTGTCAGCCAGCTGCCAATGTGTTTATCTATTTTCTGTGTATGCGCTTGTCTGCTTTCACTTTCCCATGTATGCCTGTTGACGCGCTTAATTGCCTAGTTGCAGGAACGCCCGTATCTCTCAAGGCCGCAGGTGGTTGCTGGCGAGTAGTCGCTTGGGTGAGCTCATGGTACTATCCACGAGAAGCAAACATGTTATGATTATCTAGGAGCGTTGCTTCCCAGGCTCAATGGCGCACGGGGGAAATCCCGCAATTGGGCCTCAGCTTTTGGAATTCACTATAATCCATTGTGTGCCATGCTTTTGCCCCATTCTGAACAGTGATCCTGTTATGCACCTATTGCTTCAAATAAAGTAAAACCTTTTCTACAAGCGTGTACTTCGTTGATGTGATGGGAGTCTGAATCTCCCTCTTCCAACTGTCAGCCCCCAACTGTCAGTTAGGTCTGTTTTCTGTCACTCCAAGAGTGCTCCAGCCAAAAGGCCCCCCCCTCCTCTAGGTCATGCGACTCAGCCAGGATCTATCTTAACATTCTGCCGGTCCCAGATTTTCAATTCCGTCAAACCCCCCCCCCCCAAAGAGTTGGGAACCCTCGTGCCAGATCTTGACTTAGATAGCGGTCGTTCATTGAACAAATCGGACCAATAAAGACAAATTCCAGGAGAAAGGCAGTGCTGCGAAACATATATAGCTTTTATTCAGTGCACATACCTTTCAGACAGAGGTTTGCTGCGTATCAGTTTTATGTCACTCGAAATGGCTACCACGAAACCAAGGGTCTTCAGTCCCACCAAGTCTATGGGTAGTTTTGGAATTTGAGAGCAGGGAGTGAGCCCCGCAACACAATGGCTGATAAGGAAGTTAAGGACAATCACAAAATGGCTGCTGTGGTATATTGGGACCAATCATAAAAATGTTGGCACGTTCTAAGTCAAACATCCTTCTAAATGCGGGCCTCTTGCTTCCAAATGGATGCCCCCTACACAAAATTGACATGCCCTGGGTTCCTATGAAGTACCTCCTACTCCAATAACATGAAGAAAAGCTGGAACTGGTGATGGCCACAGGAATAAAAAGCTTTAAAGGGGGTTTGGATAGATTCATGGAGGATAAGTCTATGAATGGCTACTAGCCATGGTGATGGACAGGAACCTCCATTTTCAGAGGCATTAAACCTCTGAATCCCAGAGCCAGGAGGCAACATCAGGGGAAGGTCTTGTCCTCTATGCCCTTTTGCAGACCGCCCAGTGGAACTGGTTGGCCACTCTGTGAGGCAGGATGCTGGACTAGGTGGACTATTGGTCTGTTCCAGCAGGGCTCTTCTGATGTTCTTCTCAGGGGAAGGACTCGGCCTCTCTGCCCTGTAGCTGGCCCTCCAGAGGAACTGGTTGGCCACTCTGTGAGACAGGATGCTGGACTAGATGGACTATTGGTCTGTTCCAGCAGGGCTGTTCTGATGCTCTTCTCAGGGGAAGGACTCAGCCTCTCTGCCCTGTAGCTGGCCCTCCAGAGGAACTGGTTGGCCACTGTGTGAGACAGGAGGCTGAACTAGATGGACCCTCACTGGTCTAATCCAGCAGGGCTTGTCTTCTTATGCTTTGGGTAGGACTGCTAACTCCTGGTTGGGAAATTCCTAGATATTTGGATGTAGACCCTGGGGATGGCAGGGCTTTGAGAGGGGAGGGACCCCGGCAAGGTATGATGCCATGGAGTCCAGCCTCCAAAGCAGCCATTTTCTCCAGGAGTACCCATCTCTGTGGTCTGGAGGTCCGTTCTAATTCTGGAAGAGCTCCAGGCCCCACCTGGAGGTTGGCAGCCCTAGCTTTGAGGAAGAATCCAATGAGCTCCAGGAAGTCTATCAGCAGGTCCCACCGTGTCCACAGGGACAATTGCAACCACTACCCTAACAAAGCCTGGACAACAATGTTTTGTGAGAGTGCTTGAAATCCTTCTTCCCAAACTACAGTTCCCAGGGTTCCCTGGGAGCAGGAATGGCCATGTCACGCCAATTTGAAGTTGCACTCTTACACACACTGATTTGGGAATAAACTGTACGTATGAAGAAGAAGAAGAAGAAGAAGAAGAGATTGGATTTATACCCCGCCCTTCACTTGGAGTCTCAGAGCGGCTTACAATCTCCTTTCCCTTCCCCTCCCCACAACAGACACCCTGTGAGGTGGGTGGGGCTGAGAGAACTCTGACACAAACTGCTCTTTTTCGAGGACAGCTGTGCCAGAGCTTGTGACTGACCCAAGGTCATATCAGCAGGTGCAAGTGGAGGAGTGGGGAATCAAACCCGGTTCTCCCAGATTAGAGTCCGCACACTTAACCACTACACCAAACTGTGGACCTTACAGTAAATACACAGAAGATTGATTGTCCTTCACTTGCGTTATGGAGATCAGGCTGCAACAGCGCATTGTGTTCCGGAGTCAAGGCTCGTAAGAGGCATCTTTCCAAGAAAAATAAGCTTTGGTTGGGCAAGCTGTGTTGGTGTCATTGTTCCAGATTCCACATCTTGTAGCCCACATTTTCACTACCTTGGGCACACAAGAGGCTGCGCCTTTCCCACCCCTGCAGTTATTGCTGCATGACGTGGAGCATGAGATTACACTGGTGAGGGTGCATGTACTGGGAGAAACAGCGGTATGTGTCGTGACAGAGGCTGAGCAAAGGGGATCCTGACCTGCGAGATCACATGGGAGCGGGCATGGTGGTGCGGAGACAGGCTCGTACGTGTTGGTGCATGCATCTGCGCGTGGAATTGAGAGCGGTGCCATGGAGACCGATGCGTATGGTTCTTGATGTATATTCACAAAATCAGGAGTGCTTTCAGTTATACACGAGGCCGATCACAAAGTCATCAAATAAGACCTTTGTGAATTCTCCCACATAGTAGCACACGTAGTCGCACATGGGACAACATATGCATCCAGATTCAGGCAAGGTATTGTACATGATTCAACTGATGGAGTTGTGCAGGTACCAGCGGATTCCTTTGCAAATGCTGGTGGAGGAAGGCAGGGCCTGATGTTCTGGAATATCCTCTCAATCTGAACAATGATAACAACAACAAAAAATAGATGTCAGAAATAGGAGAGGATAGCAAGGTGTGTATACACTTGGCTGTGGTTCCTGGTATTTATATATACATAATTCTCAAAGTGGCCATATCTGAGGATACATAAGTCTGGAGACTCGAGCCATGAACAGACAAGACAAATCCTGGCCCCACTGCTGGACCTCCTGAGGACACCTGGTATTTTTTGCCACTGTGTGACAGAGTGTTGGACTGGGTGGGCCACTGGCCTGATCCAGTTTTGGTTTCTCTGATGTTCTTATAAGGGGGAATTGGATGGGCATATGGAGCAGAGGTCCATCGGTGTCTCTTGGCCACGGGGTATAGATGGGGACTCTCGGTCTGGGGCAGGGGATGCTCTGTATTCTTGGTGCTTGGAGGGAGCGGGCAACAGTGAGAGGACTCCTACTGTCCTGGCCCCGCTGGTGGACCTCCTGAGGGCACCTGGTGTTTTTGGCCACTGTGTGACACAGAGTGTTGGACTAGATGGGCCATTGGCCTGATCCAACATTGGCTTCTCTTATGTTCTTATGTTCTTATTCTATGAACCTGAAAAATGTCCCAGATGTGCAAAAAGATCTGAAATCTGTAAAAAACAAACATACATAAGGGGCTAACTCTCACAAACCAGTACTCTTGAAATGGATCCTCTCACTGGCTATTGTAGAAGTAGCTAGGGAACCAGAAAAGTATTGCAAGCTTTCAAGCTGTGGTTCCTGTCAGTAGAAGTCAGAGAAAGGAGCTGGGGCTCTTTCCATGGCAGTTTTCGCCTCTGAAGGGGGATTCCACTAGGTCAGATCTGGCAGCAACCATCAGGTGACTTGATATCAAATGGCTTGCATGACTCAACTGGGAATTAGATCAAGGGCCATGTTAGTCTGTCTGTACCAGTCAAAAAGAGCAAGAGTCCAGTAGCACCTTCAAGATTAACAAAACTTGTGGCAGTGTATGAGCTTCTGTGAGTCACTGCTCACTATCTGGATAAGTGAATAGTGACTCAGGAAAGCTCATCTCCTGCCACAAATTTTGTTAGTCTTTAAGGTGCTGCTGGACTCTGGCTCTTTTTTACTCCCCCCAGAATGGCTGCTTGTCAGTGTGGTGCATTTGTTAGAGTTTCTGACTAAGAGAGAGACCCAGGTAGCGTGTGCACTTGGTATATCCCGAACTGAATAAATACCTGAAAAATAGCTTATCGGTATTTTTTTTTGGAGGGGGGTGGATTTATTCAGCCAAATACAGATTGGAGAATCAGATTTGGCTACTGAAATAGCCACACCCGAATAATGGCTGATATTATTTGGCTTTTAATCGGGTGCAGCTAGAAGGCATTTAAAGAGAGCACAGTTGGGAGGGTGGGGTATACATCTGATAATAAAATAAATACCTTTCCCCCTTTCATTGGTGTCAGTGGAGGAGGGGGACACCTTCTTTGGGGCCCCATAAAATTGGACCCCTGGTCCAATCTTTTTAAAACTGGGGGGGGGGGGGGTGGGGGGGGGCACCGACCAGCT